TCAATCAATCAATCAATCAATCAATCAATCAATCAATCAATCAATCAATCAATCAATCAATCAATCAATCAATCAATCAATCAATCAATCAATCAATCAATCAATCAATCAATCAATCAATCAATCAATCAATCAATCAATCAATCAATCAATCAATCAATCAATCAATCAATCAATCAATCAATCAATCGATCGATCAATCATTCAATCAATCGATCAATCATTCAATCAATCAATCAATCGATCGGTCGATTGATCAATCCACCAATTTACCAGCGAAAAACTGCGTGCCATAGCCACATTAGATGTATCCGTTACAGTTTCGATCACCGGAAAACGCGAAAGTGGAATGTACAACCAATCATTAGAGGCGAAGTTATGTTTAGTTTGCTCGGAAATTGAGTGGCTACGCATTGAAGGCAATAGCTTTGATGCACTAGCGCCACTGATTGCTCGATTGGGTTATTTATGATGGTTCTAACCCGCACGAATTTCATAAGGTCGAAAGATATGATTATGTTTTTAACATATATTTGACGGTCAATCTAACAACGCCTGACTAGCAAGACTGGTGACACCAACCAAAAGTGGATTTTCACGGTGGTCGCTAATTCACCTTCGGTGGATTTGGAATTCGCCAGAATGTTACTGAAAGAACTGGGTCCATTATAGGCTTATCGGGTTGGCTGATACCGAAGCTCACAGTTTCCCCTTGGTTAACCGTGGGACCAAGCCTCTACAAAAGGTGGCAAAATTCCAAGTGGTATTACTTAAGGCCCGAACCTGTTTTTAAACATACTTGAAGTTCGTTGTCAGATGAAATACTGTTCTATCCCACCATGATTTTCCTCCTAAGGTGTAAAGTCCCTGCCTCTCAAATTTGGTTTGGTTACCACGGCATGTTCCCATTTATGCCTGAGTCGTATGGCAGTGAAACACCAGTGCTCCCGCTTGGTGTTGCTGTCAATGATGTTGATAACGATGACTGAGTCTTACCGCATCCGCACGCCGCTGATTTCGTTTATCATTGGAGCATAACACACACGGTGTTACAACACCACATAATTTCCCTACCATCGTACCGGCTTCGTATCAAACTGATTAGCAGATTATTTGAAAAGCAAGTCTAATGCCTCCCCGATTTTAACCGAAGCAAATGATCAAGACAGGCTAAAACTTCGGAACTGCCGACTTCATCCAGTGCGCTGAGCACTCAGCGGTTGGATAAGTTGAAACAAATAACTTGATCTAGAAATAGGATGGACTGAGCACATCATAGAAAATGAGAACGCGCACAGTGGTTCCACTGCAAGCCAGCTGATTCTGCACTGTAAACTGAAAAGAAATAGAATATAACGGAGATCTCAAGTGAATAAGTTAGGGTTTCACTGTGCAGTCAAGATAGTACTAATCCGTGTTTAATGTGTGGAGCTGTTTCACAGACCATGGCGTAATGTAACGTTCTGTTTAAGCTGCTTAGATTCAATGGGTCTGTGCTGTTTTGGAAAGGAGCATCTGTGAAAATTTTGTCCGATGGAATTTCGTCACACATATACTGACAGTACAATGCTTCAGAGAGCTACCGCTGCTTTAACTGACAAAAATTCTCGCAAAATATATTGAAACTTTTCCGCTCAGCCCAATCGCAATTTGAAACTTGAAATGCACTTTTAGTTGGGAGTACTATGGAAGGTGATAGTTGTCATCGTTGATAGACCAGGTCATCAAGGAAATAAGTTTCGGATAAATGATTAAAATGAACCTAGGAACAGATGCATTACGTGGCCCCAATTATTACCCGCCTTTTGATAATGGTAGGAGTTTCATATTACAGAGAGACTGACTCTCAGGCAAGCCATCTATTGCTATTGGTCCAATTAATGATTGACAAATCCCTTCAACTAATGGCAGGATCCCACACACCTAACAATCGCTATCATTGCGTTCGTGTTGCGCAAATTCCATTACTTGGTTGCCGTATTCCGAACGGATGTCAAATTCACATCCGCCTCTTGCTTTCCACCGGACTGCAGTTTGTGCCTAAGTTGTTTGACCGCCCGTTATTGGTTATCTGTCGGGCTGCAGTACAGAAATGTATCACGACAGACCCCGGCGACATCGCCCCCAAACGAGTTTCTGTTCCCACCTTTCTCTGTGGTTACTTCAAGCCATGTTACTTTCCACGAGATAGGTCATTGTAGTGGTTGGTCTGTTCGCCGAGCTTGGTAGTTGGCAGTCTCATCACCAATCGAATTGGTATCGTCAGTGCGGGGCCGAGTGGTCATTTCCTCTGTAGCATGAGGCATCCAATTTTCCCGTTCATCCCCGTTCATGGTGACTGGTTCCCGTGACTGCAGCCCTACAAAAGTGATTCGCTCGCGGCTGCCTGTGTTGCAAGCATTCAGTATAAGTTCACACATCGCCATGGTGAAATGTTAGGCACATCCCTATCCTTAACTGTCTCCGTCGGACAAATTTGTCGGTACTCTTAATGTGAAAGCTAGGACACTGAAAAGGAGATAGCCTAATTCATTGGTTTCGTGGGTTGCACCTTAATTTCGACTGCAGATTAGATGAATTTCATCCGAAACCCGTTAGAAGATCTAGAGAATACAGTATTTATTTTGTTTTTTGGTCATAAGGTAAGCCCCAAGAAGCTATGTTTATTCTTGCGAGCAACCATAAGGCTAGTTGATTCGGGAAGGGAGAAGACCGCCGGAAAGCCCCAGAAAACAGGATAACTCATCCATCTGTTTTGTGAAACTTTTAAAATCCTTGTTCATCTACGTGTGACGTGTTAGAATGTTGCTACACCAAGGCACGTATTAATGAAAACTGAGTAAACTAAAGCGTTATCCAACTCTGATTGCATTATGTATGCAGATATCGGAAGCGAAGTACTCTCGTTGTACTGGTTTTGGCATTAGCCTACTCGGATACTTTCGAGCAGTTTACTGAGATTGCTGTACACAAAATCGACCATTGAATCATGCGCTGTCTAGACTTTGTCAGTCGGTAAATGACACATTAGGTTTATTGGTAGATCGTAGGAGGGCAATACAGAAATACTTCGGGAAAGATACCTAAGCAATCCAAAATGCCTCAGACAACCCGATCACAAGGTACAGTGTGGAGAATATTTTCAACCATGTGGACCCAAACCTGCTTTTTTGTAGCTGTATGTTTCGGTAACCTCGATCTCTGTTGGCAAGGTAGCAGTGCAGTGGGTGAACGGACGCCCCACATTGAATTTTTGCGAACAGACTGGCTTATAAATTGCGTCAACAGCTTGTCACCGTTAAAACGTGGTCGGTCACAGGAGGCGCTTGTAGGGTTTTCCAACAATCAGCTGCAGTCCGTGTGCCACTGACCAGCATATCTCTCTGTGTAGTAGGGATGACTCGAATTGCTAGTCAGACTTCACATGCCATGGACCGAAGGCTACGCAATGGCTAAATTCACACCGGTGCCAATATTCGGACTCCAAATAGGGATGGGTGTCTACAAGGGTTTGGGTGCAATGGTCGTAGCCAGTCAACCATACTTGAGTATACGACGTGGTACCTAGAGCATACCACTCTCCCTTAATACTACTGCCCGTTGTCAAGTTATCTCATCGCTGAAGCATGTCTTCAGCCTTGAATCTCGAGGTGCCATTTGAACAAGTGATTGGATTTACTGATGTCTCTAGCAAAACCAGTCGGCCAGTGCCATCGGCACAGTTGAGGTGGGCGATGACGCGACAACATCGGGGCCTGCGTAGGATCAGTGAGTTGACGAGAGCTTCCGAATCACGACTATAAGGACCATCTATGCCACGTTTTGTTCACTTCTACGGTATGTTATTTTATCGTAGCTACCAAAGTCGTCCTGATGTGTACGCTTGAGCAAAATTCTTTTGTACTACATTGCTAACATTGTCAGTGCTGTTTCACTTCAGTTAAACAGAGAATGAAATTCGGATGTCCTTAAGGAACCGACTTCAGAAAAAGCCAACGATTTAAAACACTTGGCATACGAAGTGCGAAAGGCACAGTGTTCGGAATTCAAGATTCAAGGAGGGCTTGAATTCGACATTCTGGTTGTGAGAACCCGTGTGTGCTCCCGAATACCAGACTCTCTGTCTCTAGTAGTAACTTTTCACAAGGAGGATTGTGACCTGTACTAATATGTGTCCGACAGATATTTTTGTGGTCAACTGAACCTTGGTCATTTTGATGACACTTAGAACGCCTACGCAGCCCTCTCTCGCTTTGGTGTAAACAAAATTTTCTCCAACTTTTGCACACCACGTGTAGCATGAGCAAATGGTGGTCTCGGTAAACACCACGTGGAGTGCACCGTGTCACATCGATAACATAATCGTTGTGGATGGACTCAACAAAAATAAGTTGTGTTGCAAGACATTTGTGGCGTGCTTTTGGTGCGGTTACTAACTGAAACTGTATTCAAATACTTCCCAAGATATTGACCACAAACAGACCGATGAGCATTGGTGTGCCCATGAAAGTGTGTTGCATTTTCACACATGGATTGAAAGTGTATCTGATCGTTCAGCTTATTTGACCATTTCACTGAAGGCACTCTGTTGTCTCGCATCAGACAGTCTTGAAGCAAAGTAAAACATACCCATCATGCGTATCAAGCTACAGAGCGGGCCGTTTTGTTGTATGGCTGTGGGATTGAGCCTATTCGAGCAGCGGACCTGAGACGTCTTCAGGTGTTCGACACTCGTTGTCTCCGAACCATTGCTCGTGTGGGTTGGTGTCGGCGAATCCATAACGAGACAGTTAGAAGGCATGTTTTCGGTTGTGCAACGGGTACTCCCATTGAAGAATGTGCCCAGCACCAGAAGCTGCGTTGGTTGCGTATGCCGCACCATAGTTTTCTGTGCCCAACTTTTTTCCATGCCCAACTCAGTGGCGTAAACAGAGGTGACCAACCCTTGACTTGGCAGAGGAGTATGAAGGAGATCACGAAACGCTTGGGTGCTGTCGGTGCTACTCGCCTTCCAGGATAGGGACCGCTTGATTCTCACTGTGCCTGGTTGGAGACACTACAAGATATGGCTGCCAACCGATGTCAGTGGCGTTCTTGTTGTCACTTTCTATCCAGATTGCCTGAGTGAATGTCTGGCACCTCGGAATGATTGTGGTAAGCTAGCACCAAGTCCCCTCCTCGTCCACCTTTACTCTTTTCTTTAAAATAAGGCTTTCAAATAAATCATGGTTGTACAGCAGTGAAGCATTGGTGTTGAATACTGGTGTTGTGGATGATGATGATGATGCATCATGCGTTCCGAACGACCATTCCAACCCAAGTTTCTGTGCGTCCTCTCAACTTGCCACATGCATGTTGCCCTGTTACATCACGATGTTTGAACCCATAGTGATGTCTCTATCCCTCAAATTTCATTCATATCAGTTCCGTTACCTAGATGAGCCTAAGTCAAACCACACGCAACTTCAAATCACGTAACTGTTTCCGTCTACATTTCCGAAGGGATGTGCACAGTGAGGCCAAATCACACACCATGAGGAAGGCGCTCATTTCCCGTCACTGTAGTTATTAAATGGTTTGTGTATAATCCCCATAGTGCCACCGAACTTGACTGAAGTAACGTGGAGAGAGCTTCTGGCTCCGCTTATTACACTTAGCAAATGGGATGATTAAACGTCTGAACCAATAGCTTGATCGAAAACGATGATGAGGTGGGTGGAGCCTGATGGCAAGAATTATTCCTCCGACTGATTCCGCGATGGAACTTCGGAATTGTGGTCTCCACCCTGACAAAACTCTACCGTATCGGTTTTGCCCACATTTCACTTGCGTCTGTGAAACAAGGAAGGGAAGTACTACCCGTCACGAGCTTGAACAGAAAAATTAATTAAGGAAACTACTCACAAGGTTGCTGAAAACTCTTCGAAAGCCCACGACCGCTTTCGCCCTTCTTGGGGCTCATCAGGTAGGCGCAGTCCCCGAGTTTCCATCAACCTTATGATCTACTTGAACCCAAATTGCCTCCCTGATGAGCCCCAAGAAGGGCGAAACCGGTCGTGGGCTGTCGACGGGAGACTCAATTG